ATCTACTTTTAGAGTATGTGTGGTGTGATTGAGTTGGCTCGTAAAGACCTGGATAATTGCAGTGTGAAATCACGAAAGAATATATCGTCGATTGAAATGGAGTTATGCATCAAAAGCACCAAAGAGGCCATCAGGAGGTGCAACAGCTTTATGGATATATCGACGCACATACACAATGTATTCAATGATAATACGGATGACACGGCTAACAGATTATGGCATTGCATTGCATTCTCCAAACACGGCGGCGAGTCTCTCGTAACGTCCAAACAATACTGTCATCTGGTGTGTGGTTTGCTTCACATCGAAGTATTTAGTACTGTCAAGTATGAAAGCAATGTTTCTAGTAACATTGTTCAATAGCAAATATCTAATATCGGCAAATAGTACACATCAGTACCTAGGGCAAATTGGACACAGATTATTAATAAAAATTCAATCAAAAAATTGTATAAAATTTAGTTTTCTGATAAAAATAACTTTTCTCAAATAAAAGGCTTACTATGCACTGCACAATGCATATCAACGGATGTTTAGGACAAATTTAATTTGTTAAAATATTTTTATATTGTAAGTTATAAAATTGTTATAAAATGATTAAACAAATAATAAATTATTACTACAGTAATACTAAATAAAAATAATTTCCAGAATGAAACTAGTTAGTATTTTATGCTTATTTTTATTGGTTATTAAGTTATTTTGTTAAACATATGCACTTTAGAGTATGAACTGAGTGAATTATCTGGCTCGTAATGACCTGGATGATTGTGTATTGGAGCACCACTACCTAATATAATATCACCTTACATTTTGTATCGCACAGCCATTATTAGCAATTAGATTTTTACCACATATGGCTTAAATGAAAGCTCTGCTATTGAGCTTTCAAACTCACTTAACCATATTGACCCATGACCTCAACCCTGACCTGTACCTATGACCTTTGCGTTCATTCCGTTATTTCAATTACGGTACATTTTGATAAAAAATTTTAACTGTAAAAGTTCTGCATTAAATAGATGTAAATAATATTTTTTACCGCTTCAGTCTAGGACTTGTAGTTATCAAGTAGGGTATCTTATTCAATTATTCTATCAAAATGTCTACTAATTACAAAACTTGGGTTGGTCACACTGCTTACAGCTCTGATGCAAGCAAATTATTGTTAGGATTTTAAAAGATCTTTCGAACTTATCTGGAATCATCTTGATACATTAATCAAGTGCTGGGATAAATCGATTTAAAGTTTACAAATTTTACAAAGAAAAGTTTATTTAAAAATCAACAAGGCAAAAATTAGCGAAATCCAGAATTTAGTTTTTAGGTATTGACCCTGTGTATCGAACCCAAAAATCAAAACTTAAAAACGTTGGATACTTTTTAAGTAATTCAAGATTTTCAAAAACTGCCGTTCCCTACCGTTCCTTTGAGAATTGTAAAAAAGTCATCATATGAATGTGTTGGTGCAAAAAAGCATAGTTGCAAAAAATTTTGTTTTAATCTAGCTCAATTCTAACCTATAGTAATTTTAACAAAACGAGTTACCGTTATTTTTGGCAAACATTTTATACTGCACAATGTTAAATGTACAGATGTTTAGGATAAATTTGATTTGTTAAAATTTTTTTGATTATAAATTCTAGAAACGTTATAAAATGATTTTAAAAAGCAATAAATTATCATATATACATAATGTACATAATTTAAACTTTATTGAATTTAAATAATTAATATCATTTCTCACATAATAAAAAGTAAATATATATTTTAACGATTATTTCTCCTGTACTACTAAAATAGTTAAATTATATTAATGATTAGTAATCACTGATTACTATTAAACCAGATAAAATTTTATTGAGTCCAAAGATAAATATAAATTGTGTGCAGTTATATATCTATAATAAAACATTAAATGTATTGCACACTTAAATGATAACATCGTCTAATACTGTATTATGTATATAATACCTACTATATTAGCATATATCAAATAAATTATTTAACAAATATAAAGTAGTTAATAATAAAAAAATTAATATTTAATATATTTTGTGCGACAAATGCCTGGTTTTAATAGGAGTCGAGTGGTCGGTGTATCCGATGAGGAATTGGATGAATTCATATGTGGTATATGTCTGGAAGTGTTTGTCAACCCAGTGGTCACCCAATGCTGTCAACAAACGTATTGCAATGAATGTATCCATTGGTGGCTCTCAGACCACAACACCTGTCCTAATGATCGCAAAAGTTTGAGTCGTGAAGGTATGGGTTCTGCGCCAAGATTTGTCATTAATTTGTTGGACAAAATGAAAGTGAAGTGCGATTTCTATGCCAATGGCTGTGAATCAGTGGTGAAAATGTGTGAATTGTCACAACATATAAATAGTTGTGACTACAATCCTAACCGAAAGTGTGCGACCTGTCAATTGCCTATCGATCGTAACATTAAACACAACTGTATTGAGAATCTATTGATTCTTAATAACAGTCTTTGCGATGAAATCAAGAGAATCAGTTCCGAGAATCATAAACTCGTGAGTATTGCCAAACATTTTTGTATTTCTCTTTCCTTATAGATATTAACAATTTGATTATTTTGTACAAAACATTACTTCAGAGCATGAAAGGGGTGATAGAGTTGACTCGCAAAGACCTGGAGAAGTGTCTCGTGAGACAAAATCTGGGAATGTCTGTGACTGAAGTGAATCTATGTATAGAGCGGGCAAAGGAGGCCATCAGGAGGTGTGACACCTATCTGGATATAGCTACACACCTATCCCAAGCATATAATAACAATAATATCCCGACTCCCAGAAAATGGCACTGCATTGTATTCTCGAGCACTGGCGGGCAGTCCCTCGTATGTAGCCAACAATATTGTCAGCTATTATTTAGTAATGTACTTCACATCGAGGTATTTACATCGATATAGTAAACATGGTGTATTATTGTAGTAATCAAGTGTATTACTGTTTTAATTATTTTAAATTTTAAAAAATATTTCTAAATTTATTTTGAGAGTACTGTGTTGTTTTTCTGTTTTATTTACTATAACTCCATTATTTTTATATAAAAACTTAAATATATAACCTGTATATAAAATATGTGATTTAAAATATACATGTATCGTGCATTCAAGTGAGGGTGGGAGAGCCAAGGTGTTTTCCAAACAACACTGTCGACTGTCGAAGTGTTTGGTTTGCTTTATGTCGCTACAGTATATTTCATATAATTCACTGTATTTATGTCAATATTTTTTTGTGTTTATTAAATAAAAACTCTTATGTGAAGTTTGAAGTTTTATAATTGCAATAAGTGTTATTATTATACAGTATATTCAATATTTTGGCCATCAAATGAATAGAAAAATGTTTTCACGCATTGATATTGTGTTGAGAATTAATAGTTAAGAACTCCTATTAAATAGGAAGTGACATAAACATTGAATTTGTGACCCAATGTATAAGTAGAATTGGGATTAAGGACTAATTCTGAATTTAAAGACTAGTACCTTATATGAATTTCCTATTAGGAAGTGTATATGACAAGTTACAGGTATAAAATAAATGTAGGCTTGATATTTTGTATTGTATGCTAAATAAATCAAATATACTTTGAATACTTTGTAGAGATTAGCACTGAACCCCATTTTAAGCATAGGACTCAGAAATAAAGTATTTGCAAATTTAGTTGCAAAATATCAAATTGATTGCGTTTACAGAATGCAGTATCATTTGCTATTATATTGATTAAACAATAAAAATATTACAAAACAATTAAATATATATTTTGTGAATAAATGCCGGGTTTTGATAAGAAACGAGTGATTGGTGTATGCGATGAAGAGTTGGATGAATACACGTGTGGTATATGTCTGGAAGTGTTTGTCGATCCTGTGGTCACCCAATGCTGTCGACAAACATATTGTAGTGAATGCATCAACGGTTGGCTATCAGACCACAACACCTGTCCTAATGATGGTAAGCCTTTGAGTGTGAGTCCGGCGCCAAGAGTTTTGGTCAACTTATTGAACAAAATGCACGTTAAGTGTCATTTCAATGACGGCGGCTGTGAATCGGTGGTGAAAATGTGTGAATTAGCACAACATATGAATGAGTCAAAGCCAGACTATGATAAGTCCAAATACAAATTCATTAATATGAATTACAATGAACTTTAGGTAACACATTGGTCAATATGATTAACACATGGTGTATAATATAAGTGCATATTAATGTATTTGTATTTGGACTTATCATAGTCTGACTTTGACTGGCTCATATAGACAATGACAACACTGTACACAATATTATTGAGGATCTCTTAACCGAAAACCAAATGAAATCGACAAAATGAAAGCCGAGAGCAATGCACTTATGGTTAATATTACTTATATTATATTATACGCTATATAAAGGTATATACGCTATATACGCATTATTAGGTCATACGGAAAGGTTGTTTCTGGCTATAATTTAAATTTCTCTGGAATGGCTTAATATTTTCAAAAGCGGTTTGTTTTACTGAATAGCCTAATAATCCGAGAATTTTTTGCACAAAAAAT